TAAAGCAAATGTCTTAAAAAAAAGGGTAAAGTCTTTAAAGAGACAGAGTACAGATAGTTAAGAGATTAAAAGAAATAAAGAAAAATAAGCCACGTAAAAATGGAAAATTCACAGAGAGTCTGGATTATGTACATTGTGTTTTCTTTAAAATTTTTGACTGTAAAGGAGCTAAGTACAGAGAGACATTTCATTACATGGGCTGCCAAGCTAAACCAGAATGGATATAAGGGTATTACGATTTCAAAATTTGGGTCTAAGGATATGATGCTTTGGAAAGGGTCTTCTTTTGTTTTCACAGAGGACCAGACCCTGTGGATTGCATCTATCCCGATATGGTATGATAGACCACGACCTCCCGAAAAGTTCCTGTGAACACCCTCAAAAAATTACTTCACTCAACTGGCAACTGAGATAAACCTGGCACACAGGTTACACCCTAAATGATCTGATTAACAGCGCCCCCATTCAGCAGGAAGCAGTTCAGAGAGAAAAAACTGCGCCCATGTTCCCAAAATATTGTTTATAAATGTTCTTTTACATTTAAAGGGGGAAATGATATAGGTATGAATAATTTGCATTGGTATGGATTTTAAGGTCAATTTTGTTATATGTATATGTATTTCTGATCTTGATTAAGGTATTGTGATTGTGTAGTTCATTTTTAAAATGTAATGTATAATTAGGAAATATAGGTTGTTGATGGATAATCAAAAATAATAGTCAAGTTTGTAGTCATGTTACTTAGATTTTCTAGATATATAGAGATATATTTCAGATAGGCATTCTTCATCTCTCTCAAAGACTGCAGAATATGGCATTTAATGTTTTAATAACTTAGGACTTTTCATGACAATGAGACATATCTGCTCCTGGTGGCATCAATCTACCTCGAGAGGAAGATGGGCATCGAAGAGGATCCTGATGGAGTTGGATAGCCATTTGGGCAAGAAACTGCTCTTGCCTGGACTGTTGCATAAAATGGACACAGAGAACCCGCAGAGAGAGGACTGCTGAACTTGCCTAAAGGCAAGACGGTCTTTTGGGGTTCATGACTCATGAAAGAGTCTGCGAGACATTCTGCAGGACACAGCAGATAGTGACTGAACTGTCTTTGGAATTTCCTGTTTGATGGAAATGTCTGCTGGATACTATGGGCCTGAAGGCTGAAGATGGATGCCCCAATCATACAAAAGAACTTGGGGTGACTGTCCAGGCAGCAAGATGTCTCTGTCATTTCTAGAGTTTTCTTATTTCTTGTTTACTTAGGTAGTATTATATCCTTCTGGAGTCTTTGATGGAGTTGAAGAATGAATAGATAGTTATAGTTTTCCTTAGTTATGATAAAAGATAAAATAGATATAAATATTGTAACTGTAATTCTTGCTTGATAACTGTTTTGCTATATGTAATTTTACTATGTTAAAGTTAAAGCCTTTCTTTTTTGTTTAAACAGAAAAAGGGGAAATGATGTGGGAGTGATTTCTTATTAATAAAGAAACTGCCTAGACCCATTTGATAGGCCAACCCTTAGGTAGGCGGAGTAAACAGAACGGAAGGCTGGGAGAAAGAAGCTGAGTCAGGGAGTCGCCATGATTCTCCCACTCCAGACAGACGCAGGTTAAGATCTTTCCTGGTAAGCCAGCTCGTGGGCTACACAGATTAATAGAAATGGGTTAGATCAATATGTAAAAGCTAGCCAATAAGAAACTGAAACTAATGGGTCAGGCAGTGTTTAAAAGAATACAGTTTCCGTGTAATTATTTCGGGTAAAGCTAGCCATGCGGGCGGCCGCATGCCAGGGACGCAGCCCTGCCGCTCGTAACACAATAACCACCCCGTGGCTTGAATCTCTCCCAGTGTTAGTCCCGTCCTCCAACCCTGTGGGAACTTCCAGGAGAGTCTCCACCAAAGGACTTGGCCACCGAGATGCATCATTCTGAGAGATCCCCTCATCTCTTTGACATAGGGTCCAGAATGGCCATGAGCTTCCGATGCCTCTGCATATACCTGCTGAGTCTTAGAACCAGAGACATGAGCCACCACCTTCAGTTTATGTGAGATCAAGCCCAGTGCTTCACACATGCTGGAGAAACATCCTACCAGCTGAGCCACATCCCTAGCCCTCTAGCCCTTCCCTGAAGTAAGAATCCCCTCAAAATCAGGCCTTTCTATTAGCAATAGCAGGCTCCTCAGCATCTTGTGTGCCAGTGCCACTCAACAAAGCAGACGTTCTTTCCCAGCACTCGGGAGGCAGAGGCAGAGGCAGGCAGATTTCTGTGCGTTCGAGGCCAACCTGGTCCGCAAAAGATGTTCCAGGACAGCCAGGACTATACAGAGAAACCCTGTCTTGAGGGGCAAAGAAAGTTCCTCTGAGATCCAACCGGGATCTAAGTGTGGTAGGCAGTTAGTTAGGCATGGGTTCTGGGGTCCGACAGGTGGGAGCTGGAAGCTCAGCTCGGCACCCCTCGTTTTGAAGCTGTGACACCTTGGGTGACTCACACAACCTCTCTGAGCTTTAGTTTCCTCCTTAGGAAAATGGGGACAATTGTCGCCATGTCACAGGGTCCGGTGATGATTAAATGAGGTGATCTGTGTGAAGCTCCTGCGGATGCTGGTGCAATCACCTAGGATATGAAGTCATCTGTCAGGTGATGATCAGGGAATCAGTGCTGTCTGGGCAAGGGGCTCCTGCTGGGAGATACCTGCTTATTTATTTATTTATTTATTTATTTAGCTTTCCACACCCAGATAAATTTCACCGCCCTCACCTCACCCACCCCGAAACCATGCTAACTGCTCCAGGTCTCTTGATCCCACTGCGCCTGCACCCCTCCCACCATCTTGTGTGAGGGCACAGCAGCGGCTCTTCAGCAAGCCTTTCGACTGAGCTCAGTGTGGATGTGGAGGCGGAGACTCAACCCTTCTGCCCCTGCCCTCCCCCTCCTCACACTCCTAGTCTCCCTTCTCGGCCACCCCCTCACTGCTCATCCCGATGGGGTGGAGCTGGGAGCCAGGATCCCCCAAGGCAATGGTTCCCAGGCCTGGGGGCTTTCACAGCTCCATAAAGTCATCCAAAGACACTTGAGGGTGAGAGAGTGAACAAATCAAGAAAAGTATATTTTCTTTTGCCAAATAAGGGTATATAAAAAAATTCCCTTTCACTGCCGGCTGAGAATAGGCTCCTGAGCCAATAAAGAGAACGGCCTTGCTCTTTGATAAAAGGGCAACACCAAACTGGAAAAAAAAAATTACTCTGAGAGGGGCGTGGGAATCACACCTCCTCTTCCCTGACTTTTCTTAGTGGATAGAGAGAAATTCGACCCTTAATGGCCTGTGTCAGTTGGGACGTCAGGGTCTGCCAAGTAGCATGGAAGCAACTTTGGCCAGAACTGGAGTCTCCCATAAACACAGGAGAACCCACAGTGCCGTGGCTTAAGATGATCTCAATTTCTGTGCAACTTTCTTATAGAGGTGCACACCCCAAAACCAGCCCTCGGAGCTGAGGTCAAAGAAGCCTCGCCCTGGGACCTTTCCTCTCCTGTAGCTTTCCGTTGGAGCCCCTGCCCTGCCCCCAATCTAGAGAGGATGGGGTCTAAGTCAGCAGCAAGCTGGCACCTGCGGGAAGATGGCTCGAGAGGCGCCAAGGGCGGGGTCTGCACCGCATCTCGATTGCCAAGCTGAGCACTAATGGCCAAGCTCCCCAGCTCTGGGGAGGGGGTAAAATGGGCATCCCGGCCGGGATCTGGAGGACCCAGAAGTCCCGCTGGCAGGGCGCTGATAGGATCTGAGCGCTGAGAAGCAAGGCTCTGTCTCTTTGATCCTTGGCCAGGCAGGCTGGGCCTGGACCGGGAGGGGCGGTGCGGCTGTCTTCCGGCCGCCTTTGCGCCGCTGCCAGGGGTCCTGTGGGGCCCGGAGCCGGAGAGGCGGTTAGTGTCCTCCTCCACAAATTGCCCTCTGTTCCAACTGCTCTCGCCAGAGGTAGAAGGGTCCACACTGACTCCAACACCGAAACGTGCTTGGGGCGGAGGTGTGTGCGCCTCCAGTTTACTGCTTCGCTTTCCAAAGGGCCTAGTGTCTTGCAGAAGCAGTGGCCGCTCAAGGCCACCCGTGTCCTGGAGGTTCGCGTGGACACGGCCCTGGGTGCCAAGGAGATGCTTCTGAAGACGCGGCCCTAATTAGCCTCAGGGTCAATGGGTTCTGGGATGCCACTTCCCGGATTGAGCTGCTGCCCAAAGAGCCCATGACCGAATCGCGTGGCCCACGTGGCCACCGGAAGTCTCAGTTCCTAGGCAGCAGGTTCTAGGCGTCGAACTTAGTTGGGAAAGTCTTAGCGGGTTGGTGAGTGGCTGGAGAGCCGGCGTGAGTGGTTACGGTCCCTTCCTCGTCCTCTGAGTCTCGGAGCCGCCATGTCATAGATTTTCAGTGTTTGACTTGCACATGTAACCGGCGCTCAATAAACGTGAGGTGCGAATGCTTGTGCCAATGTTGGCGGAAGGTCTGGAATAAAATCCTCGGTCGGCTCAGGGATGGTAAAAGAGGCAGGTGTGTGTGTGCGTGTATGTGTGTGTGCATTTGGGTCCATTCTCAGCAGACCGGAGAAGCCCTAGGGCAGAGGGGTGTGTGTGTGTCTGGGTCCATCCTGCACCAGCCCAGACACCTAGGAAGCCTCCAGATCAGGCACAGCATGCCGTTCACACCATGGTTCCAAGCCACCTACACATCCCACGGGTCTAAGGAGCCGCATTCTTCGCAGCGGGAGGAGAAACTTGGGCGCAAGTTGTGGCTGTCTGGTAGGTAAGGAAGCGAAGTCCTACGGTTTCGCGACGGACTTCAGGCTGGGAATAGCTCGAGGAGAGCGAGCCCTTTAAGACTATGCCCAGTAGGCCTGTCCCAGTCTCTCCAGGGAGAGGAGAGGCGGGGCCTGGCGCGTTAGCCCCTCCCACCTCGGCCCCGCCCCGGCGCCCGTCCCGCCCCCGGCTCTCTGCCCGCGGCGCCTTTGATGTTCCGACCCGCCAGCTCCCGAAGCCGCTGTGCCCCGCGCCCACTGGCCGCTCAGGCGGAGTCAGCGCGCGCTCCGCCCGCCGCGCTCCGGGCTCGGAGCTCCGCACCCTGGGCTCGCCGCCTCCGCGCCCCGCGCCCCGCGCCCCGCACCCGGCGCCCCGGCGGGCGCAACGCACCATGCCGCAGCTGGACTCGGGCGGGGGCGGTGCGGGTGCTGGCGACGACCTCGGCGCGCCCGACGAGCTATTGGCCTTCCAAGACGAAGGCGAGGAACAGGACGACAAGAGCCGCGACAGCGCCGCGGGCCCCGAGAGGGACCTGGCCGAGCTCAAGTCCTCACTGGTGAATGAGTCCGAGGGCGCGGCCGCAGGCGCCGGGGTCCCGGGTCCCGGCGTCCGGGTGCACGGAGAGGCCGAGGGAGCCCCCGAGGTGAGCCCGGCCCGCTCCTCCCCGGAGGGCCTCGTCCTGGGTTGGGATCGAGCGGACCCGCCCCCCGCGCCCGCGGCCCTCGTGGGTCCCATCCCCGGACCCCCTCGTGTCTCCTCCGCCCCTCACGACCCCTCTGCTTCGCTCTGCAGGCCCTGGGACGAGAGCACACTTCGCAGAGACTTTTCCCGGACAAACTTGCAGAGTCCCTAGAGGACGGTGAGCTCTGCGCGGCTCGGGAAGGCGCTAGAACCCTGGGTGGGGGAGTGGGGGGCGGGTTTCCCGGGCGCCGCTGAGCTAGAGTCACTTCCGGTGCCCTGACCTTTATAGGAGTAAACAGACCCCCGCCATCCCCGCCTCCCCTCTAGCCCAGGTGACTGACTAATCCTTCGCCTTGAGGAGCCAGCCTTGGCTAAGGTTCCCAGACGGGAGGGTGGGGTGAAGAGTCAAGTCCCGGCCTCTAAGTGGAGGCCTGGACTCTGGGTCTTTCCCCCAAACTTGGCATTGCGGATATTTTCACCCGTTTGTTGGTCCCCGTTCCCTATCAAGTCACAAACTTGAAGGGGACCCCTTGGCAGTTTTTTTGTTTTTCTCTTGATCAGACAGCTTTCAGTCCTTAGGAGCAGCTGGCTGGGCTGGTGTCTGACCCAGCTGTGGTTTTTCCAGGCCTGAAGGCCCCGGAGTGTGCCAGCGGCATGTACAAAGAGACTGTCTACTCTGCCTTCAATCTGCTCATGCACTACCCACCGGCCTCCGGAGCAGGGCAGCACCCCCAGGCTCAACCCCCGCTGGTAAGTGACCCCAGCAGTCAGGCCCGGTAATGGACTGGCTACTTTCTTGCCTATGCAGATGAAGCTTGGATAAAAAAAAAGGGACTTCTGCCCAGACTGAGAATTCCTAGATGCCCTTTTCCAGTTCACACTCCGTGGAGTCTGACCCAAAAGGAGAACTCTGGAGTGCCTGGGCTCCGCGCTTCTCACCTACTGTTGGCTTTTGCCCTTCCAGCTTGCCCATGCAGGTGCCTTTGTTGGACCTTGCTGGGCCGGGGGTCGGGGTCTTTCTGAAAACTGTTTTGAGCTGAGCCGGTTTGCTTCCCTAGCGTGATGTGCATGCTCTGAACAGGAGCTTTGTGGTTTCGCTATCTCCAGAGAAGCAAGGGAGCTCTGGTAAGAAGCATGGGTAGAAGACCTCATCTTTTCCGGTTCCTACTAGTGCCTCAGGAGCTACCTTTAACTTTCCACCGTGTCCTCACTGGCAATACATAAAAGCCCTTGCTGGGGATCCTTGCCACGCAGAATGTGTTTTGAGCAGGCTGGCCTGGCCTCACACACACCAGGAAGGGTTTGATAGATATGCTACAAATCAGGGGTGTTGGTTGGGGGTCAGCTGCATGCATTAATGTCAGGCTTTGTGATGTGTTTGTGCTCATCATGTGCCAGACCGCTGGCCCTTTGCTGCAGGTAGGAGTGTGAGGAGCTGCTTCTGAGCTGGGTAGCAGCAAAACACCACTTGTGAGAAGAAGTTCCTAGTAGGATTCTAGACTGTCCTGAGTTGGGGATTAGGGGTACGGGAAACATGGAGGTCTGTTGGGTGTAGCCGTAGCCCAGTGCGGGTTGGGGCTCTAGGCTAGAGGCTCTGCTGGCAAGTGGCAGGATCCATGCAGAAGACAGGAAACTAAGAATGGTGGTTCTGAGAGCAGCTTCCTACTGAAGCTAGTGGGCAGTGAGAAGATAGATGGAGGCTATTCTCCAGGAACAAGCTTTGGCTAAGATTCCCTGCTAGGAGGGTGGGGTAGGGGAGTCTGGACCACTTAGAGGGAAATCTGGACATGGATTCCCATTCTTTACCTGTAAGCTGTGCGGGTCGGGTGTGTGGCCTGCCTTTCTGCTCTGGGGTGACTTGGGGTATATGAGGCGCTTCTCTTGTGTGTGAAGAGGTGACTGGCCGCCGTCTCTGCCACTTGCTCTAGTGACTAGCTCCTTGCGCAGGCAATGTTTAACAAAGATAACCTTGTAAAATCCCCTAATGGCTGTAAAGCCATTGATCTGGGGGCCAGTTGATATAACCTACCAGTTTGAAATCACTGGCAAGCATTTGGGCTGGGACTAGGCTCACTGTGTGGTAACCATGACTAGACAAAAGGCAGCGCCCCCAGGACTTGCCTGGCAGGGTCGGTGTTTGGGACTGCCCAGCAACACAGGGAGAGGGCAGTGTGATTTGGGGGTTCACTCATAGATTGAGCCAGAGACAGGAGATGCCTCGAGCTGCCAGCAATAGGCGGAGGGGACTGTTCAGCCTAAGGGTGGAGGGTGAATGCAGAGAAGCCCACGAGCAGACCCGTGGGTTCCCACTGTCAGGACCAGTAGCACTACCTGACTTAGGGATGTATGGATTTTGCTTTGGAGTCCTTCTCAAGCTGCAGCAGACGGACAGCTGTGTGTCCCTGTCCGTCCGCCCCCCACCCCTGCCTTCCTTCTCAGCCACTGTCTTCACCACTGCCTCCTGGTAACATGGGAAGGGGAGGACAGGCTCTGGTACTGATTTTCTTGGCCATGGCATCAGCTGCTGAGCAGGACTAGAAAGACAGAAAAGCAGGGGCTTGTGATGGAGGGATGTTGGGTTAGGGCGATAGAGGTGCATGCGTGTAGAGAGACTATCTTTTGGTGTGTGTGCGTGTGTGCGTGTGTGTGTAATGTATCCGAGGACATGCACTCTCGGGCTAACTCCGTGAAGTCTGTTCTCTACACTTTGACATGGGTTCTAAGGCCGGGACTCAGATCATCAGGCCTACACAAGTGTTTTTAGGTGCTAAGCCGTCTCCCTGGCCCTGCAAGAGTCTCTGAAGCAAACCCGATAGAACACAGCAAATAAAAGTTAGGAAAAAGTAAAAGTAGCTTGCAACCCCTGAAGAACTGTGTGGGTGTTTCAAGTAGAGTTTGGTTTTACAAAGCAGAGTTGGTCATCCCATGGTTTGGGAGCACGTTTGTCACCTGACTTCAAGGCTCACTTGTGTGGTGCTGGGAAAGTCGCCGTCATTCTCTTAGCAGGTAAGGAGTGCCTTGCAGGGGCCCCGGGGCAGGGAGTCTTTTGCTAAAGCTTATCCTTTCCCACACTCCTTTGTAGGAAGACAGCTGGTAAGCTGCTCAAGCCTGCCGACTGGCCATGCACAAGGGCCTTCTCTCTCTCCGCCCAGCCTTTCCTGAGGGCATGCAGGAGATCAGTGGTTATATTGAGATGCCCAAGACCAATGAGTAGGCCTCCCTGGGTATCGGGGAAAGCCTGCTCCAGGGACCTTCTCTGTCCTCGTGGCTACCACATCGGAGGCTTCTAAACAGGCCAGCTTGAGCCTGGCTCAGAGCAGTGAGCCAGCTGCTATGGAACGCAGACCCTCACCCCCTGCCCAAATAGCTTTTTTGGTGTTTTGGCTTCTTTTACACCTTCTCTAGGTTGACTCCTCAACCGGTGCTGGTGGGCATCTCCTGTCGGCTCGCAGGCAGTTAGCAGTCTAGACCAATAGCCGGGGATTATGGGGTTTTTGTCTGTTTCTACATGCATGTATGTGTGTGTGTGTACTCACTCATGCTGGTGCATGTGTGTCGGAGTCAGAGAACTTGGGAGAGTTGTTTTCTCCTTTCATGTGGGTCCCAGGGATCAAACCGAAGCTGTGTCGGGCTTGGCAACAGGCTTTGGCTTGGTTTTTATCTTGTGTCCTCTGATTTGAGACTCAGAACAGAATTGGGGGGTAAGGAGAGCAAGGAGCAAGCCGATGTGCTAGACTGGGCTCTGGGGGTAGGTGCTGGGCTGAGTAAGGTGTCATGCCTTAGGGAAACTCAGGCAAATGGCTTTGTATGATGGTGCCATCCAAACAGGGCAGAGGCAACATGAATCTTTGGCCTTTCCAATGGGCTCTTGTTGGAGGCTATGACCTGGAATGGCAAAATCCAGAACAGTTAGGCAGGAGAGCTTAGTGGTTGCCAGGGGTTGCAGGCAGTTGAGGATGGGGTGGGGGGTGACTGCTAGTGGCTGTGGGGTTTCTTTGGGGGAGATAAAGACGACAGAGTGAGATCATGATGACGGCTGCACAGGCCTCCATAGCTACTAAAGCCACAGAACTGGTTGCTTTAAAGTGGTAAGTTTTACAGTATGTGAGTTACATCTTGTTTTTTAAGGCTGAGGGTTTTGTCCATGGCAGAGGCCACAGTTCCCTGTCCCTCATCTCCCTGCAGCTCTCTGGTTACTTATGTATGTGTTCCTCTGGAGGGTTTGGGAGACACAGGACTCCTCCTTGGGTCCCTGGGCTCCGCTGTGTTCCGGGGTTGAGGTCCAGGCTACGGTGAACCCTTGGCGGAGCAGGAGTGAGAGGTTAAGCAGGACTCCTGGGAGCCAAGGAGGGAGGAGGTACTGCCAGCTTGTGTCCTCCCTGTCAGAGCTGGGTGAGGAGAAGTGCCATCAGCCTTCTCCACAGAGGGGTTTGCTGCAAGCCTTAGTGGTGACTGGGTACCAGTCTAGGTCACAGTGAAGCTTGTTAGGGGGAGTTAGGTGGGCGGTGGCGCCAGGATGCCACATGACCATAAACAGGATTGTCCCCGGGAATGCCCAGCTATTTCAGAAGGCCCGGCTATGGCTGTGAGGATTCCAGTGAGCAGCCTTGTAAGCCACTGCTTATCCAACAGAAGACGACAGGAAAGGGCCCAGCGTGCACTGGGGCCTCCCTCCAGACAGCTGTGTGGCCCAGGGATGCGTCTCCAGATACATCTCAGACCTCCCTATTCTTTACTTTGTCAGGCCACCCACCCAGTATCCACCCTGTTACTTCTTCCCGATGGCAGCAGATGCCTCCTCCAGGGTCCCCTTGCCTCCCCATCCATCCCTGACCCATATCTTAACCAGTAACCACATAGCAGTGAAAGGGTTCCTTAGGAACCTGGGTCAGCTCCCATCTCTTGTCTCCTTGAACCTCCTAGGGCTTCCACTGCTTGCGGAGGAAAGTCTACACCACTGCAGCCTGAGTGCCGAGGCTCCCCATCACCCCCCCCCACAGTAGCCAGCCCCATGTCCTTGTGGGGCCCATGCCTAGAGACCCCCCTTACCTCCAACTTTCGCACTTGTGCCCCCAGCTCGCTGTCTCTTCTCCAGCTCTTCGCGCGGGTACTACCTTCTCGTGCCTCATTCAGGGCTTACTTCAGCCGTCTCCTCCAGGAGCCTCTGACTAGTCGGGTTCAGGGCCTTGGCTACCTGGCAGCTCCTCAGACCAAAGCAGTGGGCACTGCTTTCCAGGGCACTTGCTGTATCCGTCTGTTGATGTCACCTGTTTTCCCATCTGAAAGTGGACTAGCAAGCACCCTTCTAGAAGCAGAGCGAAGATTTACAGCTTCACCAGACAGGTGCCAGGGCATTTGGGGGCAGGCATTGACTGTGGTTGACAGTGGCTCTCCTGGGCCCAGGAGTGGTTCACGGGCCTTCACATAGCTTCCCATCTAAAGGACCATGCTTCCTCTTCAGACTAGAGAGGTCTGAACCCTGAAGGTATAGGACTCAGGCTCCTATGTGGCACCTGCCCAGCCTTACGGGTTATTGGATGGGATGTGCCATTCCTGAAAGCCTCCCACCCCCCTCCCCGCACACCACCACAAAGGTTTAGTTCATACAAAGCCCTCAGTCAGAATGTGAGGAAATCAGGTTTGTAAGGAAAAGGGAGCCGAGATTTCCCGTCTTTGGCTGCTGAGCCATTCGCAGGCCTTTTCCTGGCCCTGCACACAGAGGCTCCCGGTTTGGAGGGCTCTGTGGAAGT